ATTGAGTGTTTATCAGATTACCAATTCAGAAATAGATAAAATTTTCAGTTTATTAATTTTGCACGCTCGAATAGATTTTTCCCTATCTTCTCTGAATCCTCTGACAATTAGTTAAAAGAAAAATTGGTACATGTAAGAAAAATGTAGATTTATTCATTGAGTAGTATGTGACTATGACTATAGAAGACTTATAAACGAGAAACACAGTAATCTCGCGTTTGACATCTTTCGACGTATTGAGCGCAGATTTTAGTTGCGCTACCACTGAACCAGGTTTCACCAGTATAATGGACGATAGGTGAAACGTAGGGGACAGTTACAAACACAAACGAAGTTTTGTTCGCTGTAATGCCCGCTCATGGAGACCATGGTCGGCCGGTAGTAGCTCCGGAGGCTGGGCTAATCCCACGTCCGCTGCATTCTGCAGTTTTGAAACTTTCCGCCGTAACTGCAATACCGTAGTTTAAGCGTAGCGACGTCGCACGCGCGCGGCGACGAGGTATATACTATGGATCGGGCTGACTCCCGTAGATTCGAAAATTTATCATGTTCCACGTACATACATGCCGACATTGTCATTGGCCATTGCCAGTTAATATTCCTGCTATCGATTTTTCGCAATGACGTCGCGCAGACATTTTATACAACAGCGAAAAAAGATATCGGAAAGCATTGTTTTATTGCCGTCCTACGCGAATAGTCGACAATGTTTGTACATTATTTTACATGAATATCCCTCGTCCCTTCAACGTTTCCGATTCATGGATATTGAAATAAAAGTTGAAATACTTCGCTTGTACATCGAACTGCTAATAAGATGTTTTAAGAGATTCATTTTTTTACTGACTTTGTCTTGTTATATAGTAAAATAAGGGAAGAGCGATTGAGTATAACGTATTAGTTAACAATAAGTAGAGAATTAATTAGATATCTATTCTATATTATTGGATTGTAACTCGATTCGTTTTATTCGTGACCATGAAAATATCTGGTAACTCTCGTGGAGAAAAAGAAACCGGAAAAGAGAGGCAATACGAGCGTACTCGCTACGATTGTAAATTGCTTCTCGTGTGTACCCAGCGGAATACGAAGTCGCATGTTTGTGGCGACCGGCGTTTCCAGGGATTTCGTTGGAGAATTTGCACATCTCTGCGATAGTGCTGTTAGCGACGGACGAGATTGTTGAAAATGAAATTCTTAGGTATGCCAGAATAAAATCGTCGAGAATCTTCGACTGCAAATGCAAATATGTAGAATTAACTATTCAATGATGTGATTCGGCTGAATCCTCGGCAGGTGACATGATGACATAATCTATTATTCGCCATGTCACCATTTTCCATTCTAAGTTTTCATCTTAATGTGCGACATTAATGAAATGAAGATTGATATCAAATTTGGTCCAACGCCATCGTGAATTGTTTTCAGGACAATGCACTACGGCGTTAGGCATGGAGAGCGGAGAAATCCCCGATGAAGACATCTCGGCAAGTTCTATGTACGATCCCAGCCTCGGACCGAAACATGCCAGGTAAGAGAACAATCGTATCATGAAACTGCTGTCAAGTGGGTCAACTATTTCTCTCAACAATACAACTAGTGTAATCATTGAGTTTGTTTATCGTCACAGCACATTCTCTATTATTCTCTTATTATATTTTTTCGATAGAAAATATGCATACATTTTATTTTTTACAATGATTACAAATACTACTATCGAAATTTATAATTTTGTATCTTTCTCTCTTATACAATTTTTATTTCATCATATTTTTTTATCGTATGTTTTCATCATACTTTTTTATTTTACGTTATATTGTCAAAAATAGCCGAATTGTAGGGTTAAAACAAAAGTTCGTAGTGCTACTAAGGAAATTGTGGGTTAAAATAAAAGTTCGTAGTGCTACTTTATTTGTATCATGTCTACATGGTTGAAAAAAATTTAGCAATTATACCATTCAATAGAGCAAAATTTTGGCTTTAAAAATCTGTTTTCTGAATTGCGATGATTTTTAACGGAGATACGAGCAATCAAAGTTAAAATGCTCTTTTTATTTAATCCGCGATGACGCAGTAACAAAAAATCTTAGAAACATTAAAAAAAATAATTTTATAGAGAAAAAAATTAAGCTTTCACGTTAGATAGTTGAAAATTTTCGTAAGTTTTTTTTTATACACACAAAAAGCTCACAAAGTGAGAAGAAAATTTCCCACTTTGTCCAGCTATTTTTCTATATGCAAAAGTTACCAAACTCACAGAAACTCAAAAGACATGATCTTTCGAAAGTAGAAATTTAAAAATTTTTTTCTAATTTAAATTTCATGTATTTTTAACGAAATTACAGTTGCGTGAATTTTGAAGTTCGTAGCACTTTTGTAGCAACCCAATATTTCCATTAAATTCAGAACGTTTATTTAAAGCGATTTGTTTAAAAAATATAAAAAACAAAAACTTACACAATAATAAAAAATGTAAAATAATATTTCTCTACATTTTATAATTAATTAAAAAATTATAGTTTTTTTTACTTCTCAAAACAGATTGTAAGATATAACGCAACACATATACACATATCACGCGTCTCACGTAGAATTAAATTCACTCACTTAGAATTAAATTAGGTAATTGCCATTCGCATCACACTGTATTATCGAAATTCGTCTAATCTCGCAATGTAAATCGCGTGACACGAAGGAATGTCTCTCGAGCATTAGCGCGAACCTGCTACATGGTTCACTTTATTTCTTATTACAACAGCAAGATTAAAATCACTAGCTAGTACGGCGTTTGCGTTCCGCGCCTTAGGTGTATTAAAATTTTAAATGACACGCGGCCTCAAAAGCACGGTTGTAAAACTTTGTTATCAAGAAACGAATAGGATGATGAAAGGATAAAGGAGTAGAATATTTAAAGAAACCTTTTGATTCGTTCGCGCAAAATGACAAATTAATTTTATGAGCATCATCATTATCTTCTCGGTCACGATAGCAATCTTTCGCCTTGTATAGTAGTTTTCTTTGTCGGTAGTTATAATTAAAACTCACAAAATTTTTATTCATATTTCTTGCGAAATGCAGAAAGAAGTAACATTGTAAAATAAAAATAGAATAATCATTCTAATCAATTTATAATAATCCATCTGTGATCGGTAACGAAGTAAAAAAAACTAAGATTGATCGCTCCGATGAAATTGAAGGATTATCATCCGCGATTAGTGGATATAGTCTCTTCGCGCTCTCATCATTAATAACGAGTTTCCTATCCAGAACACGTAGACCGCAGAAGCGAACTGTGCCGAGCGGATCGATCTCGTCAACGATACGCGACAATTTACGGTAGGCCCTTTGCGCCCACCGAAAACCATAACACGATCTCCGATAATAACCGGTTTCGTGTTTCGATACCATTGTTAGGGTGCCATGAAAAACAACGCTGATGTTAAAAAAAAAAGCAAGACTACTTTTTTGGAAGACCGTCGCGATGCGATCGTTCGCCTATCATAGGCGCACGCTTGGCAATTAAAAAATTTTAATTAAACCGCCATACGCGCGACCGATCAGCCGTGACGTTTTAATTAACGATCTACTCCGTAAATCAAAAAGCGGCCTACGCGACTGCATATTTCAAGGTAGATAGCCCTTGCTAGAGAGTTACGTCCTTCGAGCAAGTCGTTACCGGAGAGTTTCGGGATACACGGCCACACACAAGTCCGGCACGATGTAACGTGGGATAGGGTAGTAGCGGCCGAAAGGGGGTCGACGGCGATGGCAATGGTAGAAGGGGTTTGCGCTCGACCCCTACAAATTACCTCCAATTTCGTGTAAATTCCTCGTGCCTGCGTCAGCATAATACCTGTATTAGAACGCCTGGCTCCGGCTCTTAGGTGGCAATAAATCTGTATTAGAGCAAGGCGCCGCTCCCGCTCGCAAAAGGGGTACGACATCCGGGACCGGTTAATTTTTCAAGACCGTGATTCGTCCGCCATGTTGTCTGCAATGTTGCCCACCACGTTTCAATGACTATACTAGATATTTTTCTTTTTTCTTAATTTAAAATATTAACTCGTCTTCTTCACGCTTCTTTTATAATTTCTATTTCTCTCATATTACTCAACATAAACTGCTAACTTTTATATGAATATAGATTACAACAGATAGAAAATATTCTCTAAAACTCTTTTAAAGTGAATTGTTATTTTAAAGAGTGAACTACTACTTGTATTAAAGGTTGGAGACCAAACTACTCTCTTTCAGAACTGGTTCAATTTTTATTTTTTATAGTGAAATTCCACTCCAAAAGAATTTATGAACACATATAAATAATATTACATGGATTTATTATTTTATCCGAATATCCATAAATTTTTTAGTATATTCTTTGAGTTTTATATTGCATGAAATATTCTCTCATATATCTATATATTACGAGACATTATAAAAATGACTTGCTTGAGAAAAGATCCTAATGCGATTAGAGAGTTAACATCGCGAGGACGGCAAACGTATCAGCCGTAACTATCAATTGCGATTGTATAATTGGAGGATTCCCGGTTCTCGTTAGTAATCACTTTGGAAGCTCTCATCGCGATAAAATCTTTTCGATGTCACGAAGCGTGAGGGTATTCAAGTGAAGACACTCGGCGCTCTGTTTCACGAGCTTCTAGCCCTGAATCTAGTTTCAGCCGCGGTAGTTTGGTAACTGATGATTATCGCGATACACACACACGTGTTATCGCGTCCTGATCCGCGATAACGCGAAATGCATCACGCCAACGCACGATTATAATTATAGATGAAAGATAGATTTCCATTATGAGAGGTCGGGGCTACCCTAGAGGGGCAAAGGACTCGAGGTAAGATATTACCCCATCGTGCGCCACTCCACGGAATATGATACAACGTTACGTACAACGTGGCGTTAAAGTACTGCATTTCAAAGTACACGTACTCTGGTTCTCAGCGTAACAAAATTGCATCGTATATTTTATTAGAGAGGGTTTGCGACGAGGCAACTCCGCGACATTTTAAGGTCATTGTCATCCATTCCGCCAGACGGATAAGTAGAATATACGTAGTAAATAAATGTGAAAACGTAATTACATTTATTAGCCGGACGTAATGCTTTTCGCAAGTCAATTAGTTCTGCGCGGCGTTTCATTCCTTTGTATAATAATACGCTCGGTTAAATAAAACGTATATCATTCAGTATACAATATTTTATGATTTTGCATTCTTACTTAAACGTAATTAACTTGGAGTGCTGAAGCTTATCATATTAAGTCACATTCTTTTTAGCTTTTAATATTCGCTTTACGTAGTCATGATAAGTGTACGTGACAACGTCCGCGTAAATAACGACTCGAGAACAGACAATGGAGGAGCAGACAGTGTAGAAAATACAAAAGGATGAAGGAAGTCACGGGACGGTGCGAGAAAGCGCGTCCACGCACAAAGAGGCACGATCGATAAAGGCCCGGACAGAAAAGTGGACGGGCGTGCCGGTACGTACAACGAAAAAGTTTTTCGTTTTCATGTACGTAGCGCCGATGGCCATTCGTATCGCTTTAGAGTTGGCACGGAAAGGAGGCGTACGATGGTGGCAGCTCGATGTAAGAGGCGGTGAGAGAACGTGGAAGGGGACGCGAGAGAATGAGAAATACGGTGGGGAAAAAAACGAGAAAGGGAGTACGAAGACCCCCAGGAGGCGTGACAAGCCGAAATCTTCGACGCCGCGAAGAAGCAATAGGGGATGGAGGATGAGGGATCGCCAGGGTAAGAGGAGGCCAGAATCACGCGGACATAAACTGTCCTACGCCGTTACGTGTGCTTTCAGCAGTCGAAGCCGGGGAAAAATGGTAGCCATATTCTCCTAGCCTTCGAGCCTGGCTATCTTCCACTTTGTTACGATTCGAAAACCCCATGCCTCCGGTAGCTCTCTCGTTTCGGTGATTTATGTAACACCGTCTCCTCCCCTAGTATCTCGCCCGTTTTTTCTCGCGAGTTTGTATCGCTCGAGCAACTACGCCTCCGCTCTGGTCGTCGTCGTCGTCGTCGTCGTCGTCGTCGTCGTCT